CACTGTTGCTTGAATGGGCGGTGAAGGAAAGAAACTGTGTGGATCCAAGGGATTTAAAAAACACAGAGAAAATGGTTTTCTTTATGATTTAATAAAAAATTGTATTACTCGAAAAGCTTGATCGGACGGTTAGGGAATGAGGAATACGAAAGAGGATCTAACGGTTATAGGACTATCAGAATATTATCGTCCAGGATCGATGACGTGGAGTAAGACGATAACTCATAAGTTTTGGTCAATTTACGTTATTCTCCCTGATTTCGAATTTTATTACTAGAGGAGAATAAACAATCATAAACAAATGGGCAAATAATTCGATGATTCCGCTCGTTAAAGTAGGACAGCTGTCAAATTATCAATGGACAGAAAGGAAGAGAGGAAAATGAGACCTAAGGCGAGACACGTCATCTTGAGAGGCCCATTCGAATCAAAGATTAGTCCTCTTCTTGAGTTCTGGATTCTGATAATAATAGTTGAAGACGATGATGATCAATTTACTCATATATATATGCATATAGAGATTCTACAAGCAAAATAAGATCAAACCAATCAATGTGATTCTATTACTCACAAATAAAACCAATTTCCTCTCAATCTCTCTCCCTCCACCAAAAAACCCAATGAAAAGATACAAACGTGAATACATATGAATCACAGGAGGCCAGTGCTGCGGAACGGGTTGTTATGTTGGTTAACCGCGAAATCACCAAAACCGCTGGTGTTTGGCTGCTGTGAAACCGGGTTAACCGGGAATTCCCCAAAATCACCAAATGGGTTGCTGTTATTACTGGTAGGGGGGATGAGAGCTAGCTGATGTTGCTGTTGCTGTTGCTGATAGGTTGGCTGGTAAGAACCGAAGGGGTTATTGACCGCTGGCTGTTGAGATGTTGCAGTGCCATTGGATGATGCAAAAGGGTCATGAACCTCGAAAGGGTTGGGAGCTGGTGCGCCGTAGACAGGACGTTGGGAAGCTCTGTAGGCTCCATCATCGTATAGACTGTTCAGTGTAAGCGTGTCTAACCCACCAGCCTAAACATTTTCGATGCATAGAGAAATTGGTTTTCAAAAGATAAGCGTATACGAAAATATATATTAAACACCTATACTACTTTCAATTCTCACAGTTTCGTAACCAATTTGCTAGTAACAAGGTTCTAATCCGAAAGCTATTAATTTTGATTTTCGATAAACATTGCATTTCAAGATTTTCTTTCATGGTAACCTTGGATTGGAGGGCTTGTCCAGAGGTAAAGTTGAGGTTTATCCTAAGCTTCTCAATATTTTGAGATTTATGCCACTTTTTTTTGTGTAACAACTAAAAATTCAACTATCCAGCCAAATCTTTCTTTAGCGAGGAACTAACTGGCGTTAATTCTTTTATTTAGCTATATACTGTTTAAAACATATGGCATTATGAATAACAAAGAGAAGAACGCTTACCAATTGCCTCTCGGTGGCTGCAGAGATATCGTTGCTGGGTGTTGTTACCAAAGCAAGCTCCCATCCTGTAGGATCGTAATCGTTTGCTTGGCCAAACCGAGGCGTTGAAGGGTTAACTGAAGATAAGGACAGACCAGAAATGAGTCAGACAAAACAATAAACAAAAAGTAATACTCTCTACAGACTGAAAGAATGGTAGTGGACATGTAATCAAATGGTCTAATAAGAAGCTCACCATCATTTGGAATAATGGCTAAAGCAAGCGCATTTTGGTCTTCGATTGCTGATGCACCAGGAGCCCCAGTGTTCAGACCCTGTGAGGAAAAATTGAACAAACAGAACCTGAGGCATAAGAATCACAACAGGAAGCACAATGAAATCAAAAAACATAAAGTGATTGTAATAGGATTTTGACCAGTAGATCATCTGTATCAATGATGTTCTGAGTGTTGGCCGAGGGAGGAGGCGGGGAAAAAGGTTCAGTCTCTTCAGGTACAGCAACAACATCATCTGAAGGCAACATTTCACGTTCTTCATGAGACGGTTCATTATCTTCAGAAGGAAGTCCATCATCCGGCCTATAAGTTAGAAGCTGAATGTAGACATCTTCTTCAGCACACAAGACCCGGAAAAGGCCAAATATTATTGAATCACTAATATGAGAAACTATGAAACCATACCAGTGGTTCTGCTGGGGCATCAACGACCCGCGGTGCTTCTTTAATATACTCCTCCATTGTAGTCAGAAAAGATTGTGGAGGCTGATAGAAAAAACAAATCAAGTACTAAGTAGCCAGGTAAGAGCGATGGTCATCAATTTAATTTAGTAAAAAAATGTCCTCATCTCTTACCTCTCTTAGAACAGGAAATTGAAAATTCCTTGCAAGTTCCAATCCTTTACAAGCTTCATAGAAATCAGAAAGGCTACGAGCCTGAAAGAACACATTAACAATTGTTACACAAAAAAGTGTCTAGACATGTGAGCTCTATACCAACAAAATATTCCAACAACATCACCTGCTGACCCGCACGCTTGTATATTTCAAGGGAAGTGATTGCTTCATGTTTTGGCATTTCAAAGAACTGCAATAGATTAAAATTTGAGTAGGGAGTAAGGAAAAAGTATTAAACAGAGGCTTGATAGCTATGGTGCAAAAAATAAATCAGACCTACCTTATCAATGAGATTGATGATACCGTCATTGATAGCACAATAAACTTTAAAACTCTCCTTCAACACCTATCATTCCGTCACCAAGAAGTTAAAAAGAAAAATTCGAGCTTACTTTTTACAGATGGAACAGAATGCTTATGCAAAGCAAAAAACACAAACAACTGTATCAACTTGTGGAAATATTAATTCTATGACCAATGAAAATTATCACGTACCAGAGCAAGGGCATATTGTATAACATGATTGTGGTTAGCAGCACCTTCTGGCTGAAAATAAGCAAATGGGAAAGGCAGTCCAGTGATCAGCAGATGCAGCCAAAAAACAATGCGATAGAATATCAACTTCAAAAACAACTTATAAATAAATAAATAAATACCCTGCAACCGATGAGACGATACAGAAGCTGCTGGAGAGCTGGCAACTGCTCCAAGAGTTCTTCACCATCTAAATCCCTGGTTCTACTGTACCCCTGGCCATCCGCAATATGCAAAACCGAAACCATCAGAAAAAAAAAAAAAAAAGGCAGTAACACAAAAGAAAGTAAACACACACAATTGATACCTTATCCTGCCCTGGTGTAGATTTTGGAAGACGTTCTGCCTCAGTATCATATTTCAAAACCCTAAAGCATTCAAGCCGTTCCTCAAGGAATAATGCATAAGTACGTACCCATGCTGAACAATCCCACGCTGCGAG